TGTTCATCCTCAATAGCGATCAAAGCTACTGACACTGAAGCAGTAATAACATCATTTTTTGCCTGTGGGATTGGCAAGGATTTTTGTAATGGTAATGCAGTGTTACCGAGGGTTGGGAGCAACAAATTAGCCCGCCCTTGGTGAGAATGTAAATTAGTAGAATCTTTCTGGATGGTGGTTGGGCAATAGCCTGCAAAAAAAAAAAAAAAAAAGTGTTACCTTGAACCCAAAGGAGGTTATCCGTGCAGCAGCCTTTGTTTTCATGCCTGTGTTGGCAGCCACTACGGGTCCTGCGATCCGCCAGGGCTGGAATCCCTGTGGGCCATGCTCTTGGGGCCTCTCTGAAGCGGCGGGGATGCCTCCCTTTCTCCACGACCCCATGGGTCCTGGCCGCCCAGCAGGCCCATCGCCCCCGGAGGGAGAGGTGCAGCTGCGCAGAACCAGTTCTCATCGTGGGAACAAGCTCTTTAGGCCCCGCCAGCTCCACAGCCTCCTCCCGCTCAGGGGCTTTCAGCTTCCCCGGACTTTCTGAGAAGGGTGCCAGAGCTCTGACCACTCCTGCCGGCTGGGCTGCCGGATCCTTTAAAGGAGCTCCCTGTGGGCACAACGGCCTCCCCGCGGCCTCCCTGCCTCCAGCCAGGGCAAACGCCAGGGCAATGGGGTTTCCGGTGCACAGTTCCAGCAGCGAGAACACTCCCAGCGGTGGGACTCGCAAGGGTTCCAAGCAGTTCCCCCAGCTAGTGGGCATCTAGAAATACTAGTATTTCTATGCATATCCACATGCAAGAATGGGTGAGGAGGGACAAGTGGGGAGGAGGGACATGCGGGGGAGGGCCATGTGTGGGTGGCAGGTGCTTTCCCATTTCAGCTAGGGTGATTATTGAGAAAGCGACTTTTGAGCAAAGGTGGGAGGGAGTTAGAAATCCTGTTGAAGTGGTCCAGGCAGAAGAACCACCAGTCAGATGCCCCAATGCAGAAGCATGCCAAGGGAGTCCGAGGCTGGTGTGGCGGGAGTGGAGTGTCCAGATGCAAGAGTATTAAACATGAGGCCAAGAGATGTTATGGGACTGAGGCATGGAGAGGGTGACCATGAAAGAGGAAGGTCATGCAAGGGCATGGGGGGAGGCTTGGGAGGGTGTGGCTTGGGTGTGGCAAGAGGGGTGGGTTATTGGGGGTGGGGCGCGGATGGAGCAGATATTATTTCTGTGAGCAAAATGGGGAGGAGGCACCGGAGTGTTGAAGAATGATTTATAATGATTCCAATCATATAATGATATGATGTATAAAAAGCATCCCTCTGGCTTCTTTAAGAATAGCCTGAAAGTGGGTTGCAAAGGCAGAAAGAAGGCAACGTTTATCAGCTCCTGAAACAAGACAGAGCAAAATGTGGCTTTGACCAAGAGAGCAGCAGTGGAGGTGATACGAATTGGTCAGGTCCCATTGAACCTGCACATTGGAGCATACTTCCTTTCAACAGGGAAAAATGTGAATGAAATAATAAAATGATAGAGCTGTTGCCAGGAAAGTTAAGTTGGGCATCAATGGGCCAAGATAAGAGATGTGAATGACACCTGTTGAGGCCATTTGGGGTTTCTTGTTAGTATTAAAAAAAAAAAAAAAAAAAAAAAAAACACCAGAATTCAAACACTCTTATCTGGATGTTTAAACTTCAGAGACTAGAATGAAGTCCCACCCCAGACAAAGGAGATTAAAAGAAATTTTATGAGAGTTATGAAACATTTGAGGACAAAGGACTGCTAAGACACTGGATGAAAATCACCAAAGGGTTTGTGTGCTGCCTTCTCAGGAAATATGAGAGAATAATATAGACTAACCTCTTTAGTTGTTGTTGTTTTTTTTCGTTATTTGTTACTATGGACTCCCTAACATAATCTAAATGAAAAAAAACAAAAACATTCTTTTGAAAACTCACAATAAGGGCTGAATTCATTCTGGGAAGGGGTGGGGAGGGAAGAGAAATACAGAACTGAATAAGAAACATTTGCATTAAAACTCCTCTGAAGACACATCTTACATTTTTTGTACATCTTAGCACAATGCTAAGCACATGGTAAAGGCATAGTTGTTGTTGTTTTTAAATGAGCAAGAACCCCATAAACACAATGAGTAATATTATATGATTCCACTTAGAAGAGGTACCTAGAACAGACAAATTTATAGAGGCAGAACGTAGAATAGAGGTTACCAGGAGCTGGGGGCAGAGAGGAAGGGGCAGTTAGTGATCAGTGGGTACATGATCACTAACTGTTTGGGATGATGAAAAAGTTCTAGAGATGGATGATGGCAATGATTACACAACAATGTGAATGTAGTTAATGCCACTGAATTGTAAACTTACAAAGGGTTAAAATGTGCCCTGGCCAGTGTGGCTCAGTTGGTTGGAGTGTCGTCCCATACACCCAAAAGTCACAGGTTCCATTCCCAGTCATGGCACATAACCAGGTTGCAGGTTCCTCCCTGGTTGGGGCATGTAAGTGAGGCCACTGATCAATGTTTCTGTGTGCAATTTATGTACAATCCAAAAGCACAAATTGGTGTAGCTTCACCCCCCACCCCCTTTCTTTTTTAATTTTTTAAAGCAACCTTATATAATAAAGAGCTAATATGCTAATTAGACTGAACAGCAGAACAACCATCCAGACGACCTTCCAGATGAAGCCAGGACTGTGAGGGCCAGCCGAGGCAGCCGGGGCTGTGAGACCTGAGCCCCTTGCAAGAATTTTGTGCATCAGGCCTCTAGTAGTATTATAATGCTGAATCATGTTCAAGCACTGAGAAATTAGGGTCGTTGGGAAGCAAGTTATACAGTAACAGTAACTATATCTCTTTTCCTAATCAGTTGGGTGATAAAAAGTACCCTTCTCAGAAAAGTATGAGAGAGTGTGAACAAAGAAGCTTTCATGACCATCTTCCACTACTTAGAAGCAATAAGGAACATTCAGGGTCAGGGGTTGTTTTCCTACCCTGGGGTTCCTCTATTTAAATTTAAATTGATTCATTCCATTCAATTATTCAAAGCTATTATTGAAAGACAGTTCTTTAAATATTTTAAAAAACATTTTATGTACAATTCATAAAATGTTTCAAATGAATCAAATGTGTGTATAAAATGGTGAAGGCCCTAGCCTGTTTGGCTTCATGGCTAGAGTGTTGGCCTGCAGACCAAAGGGTCAGGTTCAATTCGGGTCAAGGGCACACACTGTGGTTGCAGGCACCTCCCCTACCTGGGCCCTGGCCAGGGTGCGTGCAGGAGGCAACCAATCAATGTGTTTCTCTCACATCGATGTTTCTGTCTATCTTTCCCCTCCCTTCCTCTCCCTCTAAAAGATCAATGGAAAAATATCCTCAGTTGAGGATTAAACAAAAATAAATAAAAAATAAAAAAAACGCCGAAACCGGTTTGGCTCAGTGGATAGAGCGTCAGCCTGCGGACTGAAGGGTCCCGGGTTCGATTCCAGTCAGGGGCATGTACCTGGGTTGCGGGCATATCCCCAGTGGGAGGTGTGCAGGAGGCGGCTGATCGATGTTTCTCTCTCATCGATGGTTCTAACTCTCTATCTCTCTCCCTTCCTCTCTGTAAGAAATCAATAAAATATATAAAAAAATAAAAATAAAAATAAAAAAAATAAAATAAAAAAATAAAAAAAACAAAATGGTGAAGGTGAGTTCAATTTGTTCAGTTTTAAAAGAGATTTTTAGTCAAATGTCTGGTTTTTACCTGAATGAGGAGCAGCAAATAATCAGTGTGATTGGCAATTCACTCTTCAATCTATTTATTTGGAATAAATAAAGTAGGTATACCGAAAAACCTAAAAGTACTTGATTTTTAATGGGTTGCCCTAGAAAAAAAATGGTATAAAAAACAGAAATTGGCATTCCAAAAAGAGAAAAAGGACTGAAATTAGAACAGCCACATGAAAGTTAACATATCTTCCCATAAAATACCAACAATATTCCAATTAAATTGTTTCCATTAGATTTTTATTTTTAAGATTTTTTAAAAGTACATAGTGAATTGGATTCCTAATCATATTTCAAGGATACATAGAGGAAATCCAATAATGCTTCAAATACATAAAACTGCAAGAACAGATTTCATTTAAAATTACAATGGCAAAAAGTATATATAAAGATGCATAAAATCTTTATTAAATGATCACACAGTAACCTGATACAATTCTTCCTGATACAAGAAAATAGAATATGAACTGGTTTATAATATATGAAGGAATTCTCAAAAAAAATCTATAATAATAAAAGTGTAATATGCTAATTAGACCACACATTCTTCCAGACGTCCTTCCGGATGAAGCTGGTGCTGCGAGGGAAGCCCGGGTCCCGGGAGCCGGAGGGAAGCCAGTGCCGGCAGCCGGGGGAAGGAGGCCTAGCCTTGCGTGAATTTCGTACATCAGGCCTCTAGTTTGTACATAAAAATCTGTCTCTGCATTTACTTCTTACGACTATTTCCCTCTATCTTACATCCTCCTTCCATACACCCATTGCCCTCTGCTATTCCCTGCACCTTCCGAAGCATGTTCCTCCTCCTAGATGGTAATCAAGTCCCTTTTTGGGGGGAGGGGGCATTAGGTATTTTTTACAGAAAAGTTTTCCGTGTTTTTTTCCATCACTATTTATCCCCTCTATGCCCTCTTCCACCTCTGCCCACCGCCTCCCCTCTCCCCCCACTTCCCACCATCATCACACTGTTGTCCTTGCCCATGAGTGATGAATAAAAAAAAAAAAAATACATGCATGGTACTAAGATTTACTGATGCGAATTAAAAGAATGGCTTTTCATTTGGAGTAATAAATTTGAAGTAAAAAAGAGAAAATAAACAAATATGTACACATATACTAAAATCCATACAAAAATATAATGTAATCTATTGGGGGTGTCCTCTGTGGACCTACTAATCTGCACAGACGACACATGAACTGCCTGCAATCGCTGTCAGCTAAGTGACCCCACAAGGCTGCTTCGCACCCGCGTCCCCCCTTGCACTGTGTGAAGAGCTCCAGGTTCCTTAGGCAAATCCTTCTTTAAAAACAATGATAACAAATGAAGAAGAACAGACATGAACTCATCAGCAAGCCTAAGGCAGGTTGATTGCCTGGTCCTCCTTGAATTTGGGGATCTTCTTAAACTCACTTTGTTTCTTGAAGAAAAGCTGGGCCAGGATGTGGTCTGCTGTGGCCTGGAAATAGTCGTCCATGTCAAGGGTTTGTAGCTGACAATGGAAAACAAAAGAAGGATCAGCACTGAGCTACTCGGGTTCCTACAGACACCGTACAGCCTCAGAACGGCGGGTACTTGGCTGTGTGACTCCCCAGCTATGAATTCCTGCCAATGCTCACCTTGTGTGCCTGGTTGTCCCTTGCCATGGGGAGCTCACCTTTTCAACTCTGAGAACCAGGAAAGTCTGACTGGTGGCTACATGTGTGGGGGCAGCGGAAGCTTTCTCTAGGAGGGACTCCATCCTCCTGAGAGATAGTTCCCTTCAAGGAGGGAACAGGACTATCTGTCTTCCTGTCAGCAGGGACTAGTGGCAGAACTTCTCAGAGCACCGTGCCCTGAGGCACAGGATGGAGGTGCATCTGTCCACCAAGTAAGTGGTCCTCCTGCTCCATGGCCAGAGACTGGACGGATAAACTGGGCATGCTCAGTTTAGCTTACCCCTTTATGCTTGGGAGCTGCAACGCTTCAAAGAACATGCCCTGTTTCTCTATGCCACAAGGCGTACAGGGCCTGCCTCAACTTGAAGAAGCCAATCCAGTTCCAGAAATTAATATTAGAAACCCACCTTCCCAAGATATTAGTCATATTCTCTAATATCTGCTTTATTAGAAAGAAAAATTACATCATGGATCTCTATATATGACTCTTTGGTCTTTTTTTCTTGGTTCAAACTTGGGAAATTAAGAGGGAAGATAAGGTGATACATTGAATCCCTTTATAACCAAATAAAAAGACTACTTGATTCTCCTCTTTTCACATTGGCTCTGCCAATTTATTTATTTATGCGCTCATTCAACACACATTGACTGAGGGCCTCCTGTGGTCCAGATGCGTTGTTTAGCAGAGTGTTCTGCCCATCCCCAGCACTTACTCATCTCTCTTAAGCGAGTTTATTCTCACCTGGTCTCTGGTGCTGAAGGCAAGAATGAAAAGCAAATCCTCATCGCATGCACTCTTGATGTAATGCTGGGTTCCAATGGGGAAAAATATCACATCGCCGACGTGAATATCAAACTCTGTCGTACCCTGAGTATTAATAATGCCCACCTAAGGAAGAAAAGAATATCTTGAAGTGAAGCAAATAAAATCAAATATTCATTAAGGATAAGTATTAATAGTGAAAATCAGATGAATAAAAGCCTGTGACTTTAAAGAGACTTATTAGAAAGAGTAAACAGCAGAAGACAGAGACCATCCTTTGCATAAAATCTCCTATTTCCAAGAGGTAGTCCCACAAAAATCAAAAGATACTCTATTTCAGGAAATGTTCCTCAAAATGCCATTAGCAAGTTCAATACTGCAGAACAACATGCAAAAAGAGCCTCAATCACCATGTTCTAATTAAGGGTTATAAATTACCCTTACATAATTACCTAATTAGGCAAAGGATTTAAATTTGAGTGTTTTACTCCCCTGCCTTCCTCTCTACTTGTTTGGAAAAATGCAGCCTTTAGGAGAGCAGCATCCTAACAGTCTTCCCTAAAAGAAGGAGAGACTAAATGTGCACACAAATGCACGCACACAAGCACACCAAAACTAAAATGTTCTTGAAATACAATTTGTGAATGATTACAACGCCTTTTTCCAACTTATTAAAGCCTTCCCCTCCAAAAACATACAACAAAACTTCTGCTACGAATGACATAATAGATGAAGTGCAGTCTGGTTTGAGTCTTTCTGTCAGGCACAGGCTAGGAAAGGCCATTTTACCTGTGTATACCATGTAGGTTTCCCCAGGGAGCCCTATGAAAGTCCAGAACCAAATCACTATGGCAACAGGCGACTCAGTTTGGCTTTTACCAGGTAGCCATATAATTGATCATCCAAATCAAGACTCTCTGAAGAGTGAAAGGGGGTGCTGTTAATAGTTTCACCTGGGTAAGTAGGACCTGCGGCCCCTCCACCAGCATTTCACACTCCCCAGCCCCCTGACTCACATTATACTGAGAAGCAAAGAGTCACTTACATTCTCCAAAGGGCAGCACATTAAACCCTTGCATTACCTGAGAATGCAAAACTCTGAAACGTAAGCAGGTGTTTCAGACCCTCCGCCATGAGGGATAGCTCTGTATCATTTCTGAAACGTTCGCAGCCTCTCTTCACGCTAAGATGGATGCTGTTCCCCAGAGCCTGCAGGGTATCCCCTAAAAACTGTGCCCAGAAAGGCATTAGCACCCAGCCCTTCGATGTTACCAAAAACTGAACCAAAACAAAGAAACACCTCCTATTTGCTCCTTTCTGCATTAAAAGGAAAGTTTTTTTAAAAAGCTGTTCACAGAAAAATTACCTTTGCACATCCACTTATCACGTATCCCATCTCATTGGCATTAAAATGGAAATGAGGCTGTCTCAATCCATTGTTGTAAATCCTGAGTGTACACAAAGTGAGGGCATTTTGATGCTTAAAAAAAAAGAAAAATGAAATCCAGTTAGTTAGCCAACATCCTACTCAGCAACATAGCCATTACTTTAATTATAATTAATATTTATGAAGCCCTCACTAAGACATGCAATTTTTTATGTCCTTTACATCTATTATCTTACTTGTTCCTTATAACAGTTTTGTAAGGTTGGTAGTATTAGTCTCCCCATTTTATGAGTGATGAAATTAAAATCTAGGTTGGTTGAGTAGTTTACCGAGAGTCACACAGTGACAGATCTGAGATTTGAATCAGGAAATTTAAAACCATAGCTGCCTTATTGGTCATTATGCAATACAGCATTTAAAACAAACAAAAAAAGCGATATTTCACAAGCACCCAGTCTTTTCTTTAATGTAACTATCAATGTCAAAAAATTAAGTTCCCAAATCCACATTGAGTCCTCAATTCATAGTGTACATTGATCAAATCAACCAATGGTTGACTACATCTTTCTTTTTCTTTTTGTCCAAAAGAATGCTGAATCCAATCTAAATATTTTATTTCATCCATGTTAATAATGATTGAAATATTTTTCTCAATTACCTGATTCAGGAATTTACTGAAAATTTTTTCATTATTGCTTAGTCCACTTTCATTTTTCCAATACTGTGCCAGCTGTATTATTCCTCCTGGAAATCGATACTCTTTTGAACCTGAGTCAGATGAGGTTTAAAAATAAAATATGATAAAATACTTCAAAATCATACTATAAAGGACATAGCTCTTTTATAGTCACCAAAACGTATGCGGTGGGAACTGCTGACACCAGATCCTATGTGCCCCCAAGATATTGACCGGATGTGCTCAGGTACTATCCTGCCTCCCAAGCTCTCCTGAAATTCCTAACAAACAGTGGCCTCTTTAAGACAGACAGTTCAACTCAGGGGACCTGACTAGGAAACTTGAGAGTCATCCTAAGTACCAACCCTGCTCTTCAAGTCAGTCACCTACATCCTGTCAGCCCTACCTCTTTAAAGTCTCTTTGCTTCATAACAGTTCTCTCCCTCTCACAACTGTCAGAGTGCAGGCCAGCATCACTCCTATCTGAGGGACTGGAGAGTCCCTGACTCATCTCCCTGCCTCTCAGTGGCCCTTCCAATCCATTCTCCACAATCCAGCAGGATTGGCCATCACTTCAAATCACAAAACTAACACTAACTCAGAAAGATATCTGCACCCCTATGTTCACTGCAGCATTGTCTACAATAGCCAAGATATGAAAACAACCTAAGTGTCCACTGACTAATGAATGGATAAAGCAGATGTTGTACAGATATGCAATGGAACATTGTTCAGCCATAAAAAAAAATAATAATAAAAAACCTTGCCATTTGTGACTGGATAGACCTCAAGGGCATTATGCAAAGTAAAATAAATCAGAGAAGGACATATACCAACATGATCTCATTTAAATGTGAAATCTAAAAAAAAAAAAGCTCATAGTTCCAGAGAACAGATTGAATGGGTGAAGGAAGTCAAAGGTACAGACTTCCAGTTATAAAATAAATAAATCATGGGGATGTGATGCACAACATGGCAACTACTGTATCGCATATTTGAAAGTTGCTTAACAGTTCTCACCACAAGAAAAAGAGTTCTGTATGATGGTGACAATATTAACTAACTTATTGTGATCATTTCACAATATATACAAATATCAAATCATTATGTTGTACACCTGAAACTCATATAATGTATATCAGCTATATCTCAAATAAATAAATAAATCTATAATAATAAAAAGCATAATATGCTAATTAGACCAGACATCCTTCCAGACGTCCTTCCTTCCAGACAAAGCCGCAGCGGGTGGGGGGCTGAGGCAGGGGCAGCAGAGGCCCTGCATCCATGGCCGCAGCAGGCCTGTCCAGGGCCAATGCCCTTGCATGAATTTCTTGCATTGGACCTCTAGTAAATATATATATATATATATATTATTGTGTCACTCTTCTATTTAAAAAACCCTAATTGCTCTTCTTTTCCATCAAGATAAAGTATAAACTTGTTTGCAAAATAACCTACATAATTGGACCCCTCCTCTCTCATCAGCTTCTTCTCCTATAATCCCCTCCTGCAGCCCCAACACACACCCTCACACTTTGAAATCTTTTGCCATGTTCTCTTTTGCTTCCTTTTCTCACATTTCCTACTCTGTTGAAAAATGTTTTTTTTTTCAAACTTCTCTTGACTGTGACCCATTGTAAAAAAAAAAAAAAAATTACATCTCAGTCCAATACACCTATATCGTCACCTATATAAATATTTAAATAAGAAGGCTTCATAAAATAACTTACTATACCTTTAAGGTCATAAAAGTATCTCCACACAAGGCTGTCTGGAGACTGTGCATAACTGGCATTCATCACCAGGTCTGCCAGGTTGGGAGGGAGGTTCACGCCCTGATCCTCCTTTTGCTTGTGGAATGACCTAATAAAATTGATTCCGCCTTCAGGCTGAAACACATAAGAAACCACATAAGACATCTGTGACACATCCTACAAATGTTAGCAATAGAAGGGTAGGTAGCTGAGGGTAGGGTGGTATTGGCACCCTCTGGTTTCCAGTGGCCCAGTTAAAAGAGCTGACCTCAGTTAGCCTGATTTGTGATATTTATGAAAATCCTCCAAGTTTTCAATGTATTTTGATTTTAAATGTGTTGGTATTTTATAGTCAATAAAAACTCCTATGGGTTCCATGTTTACCAATAATCTCCCTAATAACTCATTTCTTCTCCCTATAATATGAGACCAGGACCTGCTGCAAAATAGACCTCAGGACTTTACTAGATAGATTTCTAAATTTTCCATGGAACCCCTTTCAATTGTCAGTCATGGGCCATCACCAATTCTCCTGATCACTCATTTGCAGCAGTGTCAGCCTCCACATCCGACCCTCTGCACCCAGTGTCATTTATGAGTAATCCCTCCAATGATAACATAAATATTTGAAGAGACCCAAACCAGCTGTTCTTCAGGAAAATGGTGGGATCCTCTACATTAGATCAAGAAAACACAACATCATCTGTAGCAAACTTCTCCCTGTATTAGCTTATGGTGTTTCAGAGATGAAGATTATAGCAATTTTTATCAACTCTATTATAACCTTTCTACCAAATTTATCATAGTTTTCTATGGAAGTCCTTCACAAAAGAAAGTATAGACACTCAATTTCAACAAGTTTTATATCCTTAGTGGGAACACAAGGTATGTTTTTGAGTTCATTAGCCAACTGTTACACTGTTGATGGCTGCCCTAGACACATGAACACACATGCTCTCTTTGTGCCTGTGTAATGCGTACCCACATCGTGGGGTGAGTTTTCAGTACAGACCTTAAGTGACCTGGAAGCAATGTCCTCGGGTGTAGAGAAAAAGACATCATCAACATCCAGTGTCTGAAGTTCATCATGTGTGGAAAAGAAGAGCAAGAAAAAGCAGTCTTCATCGCCCACGTTCTTTATCCAGTGAAGCGTGTTTTTAGGAAAGAAGATCACTTGGCCAGCTGTAACATTGTACGTGGTAATGACATGACCGTCATCAACCACCCCGATCCATGCTGTCCCCTGAAACATACACAGAGAAGCACATCCAGCACCACCTTAGAGCGATTCTCAACCTTTTTCCATTACCTCCTTCCTAAGGTAACATTTTAAGACTCTTTCTAATCACCAGCTCATAAAATTTTAATACTACAGATATACTATAGATCCATATACGCCTACTGCTTATGTGCTACACATATATTTTACTTTAATACATAAAAAGAGTCAGTATTTTTGCCCCCCAAAACCAGTTTATACCCCCTTGGGGGCAATATTGCCCCCATTGAGAATACATACTTTAGAGTTTAAAAAGACTGCAGGCACATGTGTGCTCATATGCAATTACATAGACATGCATGTTTGTATAGATGAATACAGTTGTGTATGTATTTTCCAGTTAAGAAAAAGTCTGCATACAATTTTTATAATAATATTAACAATACTAGCACTTAGTGCTTTTACTGTGTTCAGTTCAGGTAGTCTTCTTAGTACTTTACCTGATTTAACTCAAGTTCCTTGCATCAACCCTGTGAGGCAATTTCTATTATTACCACCACTTTACAGATGAGAAAACTAAGTCCAGAGGGAATATATCGTTTTCCCAAGGTTACTCAGCTAGTCGATGGCAAAGCTGGGATTTGGACCTAAGCAGTCAGCTCTAACGTCTACAGGTTTTTTATTAATTGTGGCAAGAACACCTAAAATGAGATCTACCCTCTTGATAAATGTTTAAGTGTACAATACAGTATTATTAATTATAGATACAATGTCGTGTAACAGTTCTCTAAAACTTAACTATCTAGTCAAATTACCCAGATAAAATTATTTAATCAGATTATCTAGAAAGAGAGAGTAAAATGGCGGTTGCCAGGGACTGAGGGAAAGCCGATATGTTTCATCCGCACCATACTTTGATTCTGCTCATATAGAATTGTATCCTTTCTCTCATTCTCTCCTCTGTTCCTTAGTATTATTCTGTGACGTAGGTAGAGAAGGTGCCATTGTTCCTGTTTTACCAGAGACGCATGGTCATATAGTGGAGCATCCACCAGGGTAAATGAAAAGGACGTCTTGGTTCTCTCTGTTCAGACATGTAAACAGCGGGTATTAAAGATGCAGGGGAAAGGTGAATCTCTAAAGCGCTCTCTCCACGTCCACATGCAGCCAACAGCAAAAATATGCATCTATTCCTATTGGGGCATCAGCTACTCCAGACAGAGCAGAGACCGCACGGTGGCCAATGGGACACCCACTAGTCACCTCACTGCCCCGCTTCTCTCAGGAACACTCATTCCAAAGCTCTCATGAAGGTACTCCGAAGCAAAAGCAATCTCCCTGGGCGAGTGTGCAGAGGAGGGATTTCCTTCATGCCCTGTTGCTTGCTTCCTTACCCTGATCATGAGAGTGAGTGACCCTAGATTTCCTGGGATCTAGAGAATATTCTGGCCCACATTATTTTTCTAGTTGAATTATTTCATATGTTTTCACTAAGATTGACATATAACATTATATAAGTTTCAGGTGTATAACATAAAGAGTCAATGATTGTATATACTGTGAAATGATCACCATAGTAAGTCTGGTTAACATCCATCGCCACACAAAGTTATAATTTTTTATAACTTTGAGAACTTACAATGTTGAGAACTTTTAAGATCTACTCACTTAGTAACTTTCAAATAAACAATACGGTACTATTAACTATAATCACCATGCTGTATATTACATCCCCCTGATCTACTTTATAACTGGAAGTCTGTACCTTTTGATCACCTTCTAGCCCACATTTAGAAGCTCAGACCATAAACTCTGCTGAGCTGAGTCCCAAGCCTTTGATCTGTGGTACATTCTCCAGACTAATTCCTCTGGCTTGGACTTTGTTTTTTAGGGGCCCCCCTCCAGGAAAGCTCACTTAACTGCCTTTCTTTCTGCCTACCACTCTGCCAATACTCAGCCAAAAAAGCCTTTGAAGATTATCCTCTTTTACATATTTTACACATGTGGAAAAGACAAGGAGTCAAAAAATATGGACTTTGTCCTAGTCTAGCCAACATCAACAGCTACAGTTTATCTTTATCTTTCTGAGCCTCTATTCTTAAATGAGAAATAAAAAAGGATTCAGTCTTAGGTAGGTGAAACTCTAATCTCTCTTCCTGTTGTAAACTATAAAATTGAATGAATTGTCAAAAATAAAAGAGGAGTTTTATTAACAACAACAGAAACATGTCACATAAAACTGGCTGACCTATTAATAAGGTTATTAGGGTAAGGCCAAATTCTGTAAGTTCTAGTGGGGGGCTTTAGTCACTATTGGGTCCCCAGTGTCTGAAATATAGAAATATTTGAAATTCAAATAAGCACACTCATTTCACCTCCAACTCTTTCTATTTCACTTGACTTCCAGAAAATTCCAAAAGTTCTGAACCACAATTGGTCCCTGATCTTAGGGACTCCCGGCTGAACATCTGCAAACTGGTTTGTCATCCAGTGCTGCTTTTTTTCTTAGAGCAAAGCTGCCCTCTCTTTGATCATTAGATCTGAGCCACCAATTTTAGCTTTGGCTCACAGGATGGAACAGTGATCTTATTTTAAGAACAGTGTCTGAGAAATGATTTCATACTGAAGAAAGAAGTTCAAAGCAATGCCAAGAATAATTAAAACAGCCAGGCTGGTGTGTCTCAATGGTTGAGCATCAATCCATGCACCAAGAGGTTGCAGGTTCCATTCCCAGTCAGGGCAAATGCCCGGGTTGCTGGTTCAATCCCCAGCAGGGGGAGTGCAGGAGGCAGCCAATCAATGTTGATGTTTCTCTCTCATCAATGTTTCTATCCCTCTCCCTCTCCCTTCCTCTCTCTAAAATCCATTTTAAAAAGGAATAATTAAAACAAACAGGTTGATGCTTCAAGGCATTGCTAACAAATCTAACTGAATACTTACCCAAAGCCTGGATGTTGTCTATCACTTAAGCAGCTTTTGAAACAACTAAAATAATAACCTGAGGATACAACATACCAGCATAAATGCTGAAGTACCGAACGGGGCAAACTGGTTATACCTGTGCGAGATAGCCATGCTCATTTGCATTAAAGTGCCAGTGAGGGGCACGGAGGCCATTGCTTTTTATTCTCAGGGTCCCCAGCGTCATCTGTGACCTCTGGCTGTTCAAGCTGCTGCCAAAGGCCTCTTCTTCGATGCTGAGATAGTCTTTGATGTTGTTCCTGTACCGGGCCCACTGGATGGCACCACCAGAGAACTCAAACACCTGAAAAGTCATAAACAGGAAAGGCAGTGGAGATGAGGGGAGAAATGGAATTCCAAAAGGGAAAAGGAAGGATAGGCCTGCAAGACTTCAGGAATGACCATATGGTACAGGCTGTGCTCTCTGTCTAGTCCCTGTTAGACATAAAAAGAATACCTATCGCCCAGCTGGTGTTGTTCAGTGGTTAAGCATCAACCCATGAACCAAGAGGTCACAGTTTGATTCCCAGTCAGGACACATGTCAGGGTTTTGGGCTCGATCCCCAATGGGGGGCATACAGGAGGCAGCCAATCAATGGTCCTCACTCATCATTGATGTTTCCATCTCGTTCTCTCTCTCCCTTCCTCTCTCTGGAATAAAATAAAAGAATACCTATCTTGACAAGAGAAAAGAGGGCTTTCTATTTGTCTATCTTCAATTCTCCTCTCCAGCCAGACAGAGGACTACTTATCTATTAAAGAAAAGTTCTGCCTGGAACCAATATCAACTCACCTTTCCCTCTTCCCTATCTCTCCCCTCCCTTCATGCAGAGAGAACACACCTGATTCCTCCCCATGAAGACAGAGCAAAGCTTAGTAAAAACACAATGGAAACTTTGTTTTGAAATAGCCATTGAGAGTAGATGATGCTTTTCCTAATATGTATCATTCATACCTTGGATTTAGGTAAATGATTAAGAAACTGGAACTTGGGGTCAACAGCTTTTTGCAGTGTTGGAATTGTTGTTTGTGGTTTGGGTTCCGAATGGGGCTGAGAGTTGTTGATATACACCAAGGAGAGGATCAGGACTCCCACTGCTGTGGTAACGGTGCAGGCCAAGAGACACACCAGGAAAACACTCATCAATGACCACTGCTTCTTCTTTTCCTAGGAGAGATTAGCAAATTAGGGAAAATGAAGCCATCATTCTCTACTTGTGATGCATTAAAATACTGCCTCCTGATCCGGAGAGTAACATGCTAAGTTAAATAAGTCTGTCAGAGAAAGACAAGTATCACATGGTCTCACTCATATGTGGAATCTAAGTAACAAAATAAACTAATGAACAGAGCGGGTCCAGAGACATGGGAGCATGGAACAGAGTGCGGAATCTCAGAAGAAAGGCGAGGGAAGGTGGGTGGGTGGGAGGTAATCAATCAAAGACCTTGTATGCATATATGCATGGTCCATGGACACAGACAATGGAACAGTGAGGGCCTGGGGCAGGGGGATGGGAGCGGGCTGGAGGGAGTCAGTGGGGAGAAGTGGGGGGAAGAAGGGGACATATGTAATACTTTTAACAATAAAGAATTATTTTTTAAAAAATATTGCCTCCTTTCTCATTTACCAGTTTCTTCACCGAAAAATTAAATAGGTTATAAAGAGTATTTTCCAAGAACTCTTTCATTCCAGAACATACATCTACATTTACATGTACAGGTACATGCGTAGGAATAAGTAGCTTACCTGTAAAGAACTGGCCTGCAGGTCTCCGTTCCTCTCCCTCCTTTGTTTAAACAGCTTCATGGAACTCCCCTCCCTACAGGAGCAACTAACCCATCCACCAATTCTGAGCACAGTATTTCCATGTATTTCTATGTTACTATTTCCTGGCTTCACGTCACAAACATGTGCTGAAAACAATAGTATCACTTCTGTGACTTACCATGCACATTACTGAAAGCTGCCAAGAGAAAACGCATCCTAATCTTTGGACCAATTTGCCCTTGTTTCTCTGACCATTAAAATGATGCTCATAAGCACCGATGCCAAGGTGTCCTGTTCCACTCCCTCTGAGTTCCTGACCTTTCTCTCTGAGCAGGCCTATCTCTGATCACTAATAACTGTACCACAAATGTCCTTAGTACTTTAGCCTTCTTAAATGGCATATGTGGTACAGCAGAATCATTTATCAACATATTCCATTTAACATTGCATAAGGGTATTATATGGGACAATAAATAACTCACTAGTACTATGAGCAACGATTCATAGAGAGTTGGGCCATGAAAGAGCTAAAGGCGGTGTGAGTTCAGAGATTGTGAGTAAGAAGACCAATTGGGAAATACTGAGAGCAGGCGATGCTGCCTCGGTGAGGAAGGTCGCTGAGGAAAGCTGATCAAGCAGATTCTTTCCTGAGCTCTACAGGAAGGTTTGGAGGAGAACTCATCTCAAGATGGAAGCCCCCAACTCACCATTCTGGGGCTGGCGCTCATCTTCCCCACATAGGAAACAGTTGGTGTGGTGCCTTCATGCATGTCAAATGCTGCGTTGTCCATTGGCTGACGGGAGCAAGCAATTCACCAAAAAAGAAAGAGGGAGAAATGTCGCTTCAGCACACAGGGAGACCCCTGAGGTCTCTGAGAGGAGCAGATGATGATGCTTAAGTAAGGGAGTGCTTATATAGAGCGGAAAGTTAAGGAAATGAAATAAGGAAGCTGCCTCTTAAACTATAATCTTGGTTTAAAAAAAAAAACACCTAGAAATAATTGCCAAATTAGAGGCCAATAAAATACTCTCTATGGTCCCCAACTCTGCCCGTTGATGACGCATACAGAGGTAATAATAGCAACACACTAACATTTATTTCCTTATCTCCCTGTGTGCCAGGCAGCGTGTTAAGTGCTTTCATACATTATGTAACTTAATTATTACAGTGATCCTAGCAGGTGCGACCATTATTCCCATGTTGTAGGTTAGGAAATGGAGGCATGTAGAGGTATGGCAACTGCCCCCAAACCCCACAGCTACTTTTAGTGTCAGAGCAAAGCACCCTTAAGCAAAGACTCCTCCGTGACACCTGTCCTCTGCAGTTCCCTGTAGGTGCTTAGTCTAGCACAATCTCTTTTTACCCAAATCAGGCCTGCCTCTAAACAAGGTAACTGGTTTTTCTACATGGTTTAGTAAATAACTTGTTACCTGAAAGTTAAATATTTGTTTAAAATTCATTCGCATTATATTACCTGGGGATGAGTAGTGGCCTGAGTAATCTGAAAACTGCTGCTATAAATCCACAAAGCAGTCATCCGTCCTTCTTTCCTTTCTGTCTTCCTCCCCTTAGTCCTTCCGTAGACATGGCTGCATGCCTACTGTAATCCAGACACCAAGAGGCCCTGGAGTAGCTTACAATCCAGTAGGAAAAAAAGAAAGTCATTACCCCAGAAGGGGCTCTGTTATGCCAGATGTGCGAGGCCCTGCCAGGGTAGAGAAGAGTGGTTGTGTCTCGGGTGGAAAGGAAAGGCAAGGCTTCTCCGAAGCCCTCGTTTTAAAAATGATTTTATTGATTTCAGAGAGAGGAAGGGAGAGGGAGAGAGACAGAAACATCAGTGATAAGAGAGAATCATCACTCAGCTGCCTCCTGCACGGTCCCCACAGGGAACTGAGCCCAAAACCTGGGCATGTGTCCTGACTGAGAATCTAACCATGATCTCTTGGTTCACAGGTTGACACTCAACCACTGAGCCACACCAGCTGGGCTGAAGTCCTCATTTTGAGGACTAACACGGCTTCACTCTGCCGTACACTTAGTCGATTGCATTTTATTCCATATTTGGGGCTTGTCCATAAGCAGCTTTGGAACAGACCCCGTGTGGTAAAAGTGTGGACCCTACCTGAGTTGAGCAGCTCAGGCACCATGAGGCTTCAGGTTACCCTGTGTCCACCTGCCAGGGGTTTAACTTGGTGGCTTTCCTACCATAGCTCATGAAACCTAAGACACTACAGTGCATCATATCAATTTTATCTTTCCCACAAAGACTTGGAATGTAAAGGTATGGCATTGATTTTGAGATAATAAGATACGTAAAATCCCTGCTTACCTGTGAGGCCGGTGTGGTGATTTTCTCACCTTGTCATCGGGGTGCCATCAGGGATCACTTTCCTCTTTAATCCTCCTCGTGCAGTGGTTAGCCGGAGTGTGGTTCGTAGTGAGTGTTCTCTGAGATGCAATGACATATAGTTTGCTGTGTGTCTCAGGTCTTATCAGCAAATGGCACTACGTGAATTGTCAAAACAAGTTTCATTCAATTTCATGTTTTGCTGCTCTTTCCTTGGAATAGGAGAGCACAGCCCTCTGTCAACAGCATTATCTGGGAGCTACATTTAGCGTTTATTTAAATGACAAAACAAGCAAAGCGTCAACCAAACTGTACGGAGACTCATTTTAGCACTGAATTAAAGAATGCTGCGGCAGGGTAAAGTACTTCCATCTTTGCAGATTGGAGTCTATTTTCCCCAAAGTCACCTGCAGAGCCAGAACAGAAGCCCAGCTCTCCCACTTCCAGCCAGAGCTTTTCCTACATCTGCTGCGGGAGAACCTAGTGCCTTTGACATGCTACATGCAAATAGTTAGCGATGTTCAACCTTTTCCATCTCATGGCACATGTAAACTAATTACTAAAATTCTGTGACACATCAAAAAATACATTTTTTGCCGATGACAAAAATGGTAGGTATAATTTTGATCCATTCACACTGCTCAGCTATTGCGTTGGCTGTTGTCATTTATTTTATTTGACCATGGAAAAGAGGTCAGTGCCTCTGACTAAATAGTCAGGTATTGTATCTTTTAAAAATTCTTGCAGCACACTGTTGAAAATCACTGAAATAGTCTGGCAGGCATGGCTCAGTGGTTGAGCATCGACCTATGAACCAAGAGGTCATGGTTCGATTCCCAATCAGAGCACATGCCCGGGTTGTGGGCTCCATCCCCAGTGGGAGGCATGTAGGAGGCAGCCTTCCTCTCTGAAATCAATAAAAAAAAATATTTTTAAAGAAAAAAAAATCACTGAGATAGGGCAAAGTGAATTGAAGCAGGACAACTCAAAGAAGGATAATTACAAAAATCATTTTAGGGCACGTGAATGTAACTCCATGGTGCAGCCCAGCGACCCCCAAAGCCCTCAGAAATGGAGTGTTTTCTATTAGACCCGAAATGCTTGTTTAAGGACCTGAGCCAGCCGCACTGCTCAACTCCAATGAAGCCCCTTTGAGGCTCTATATGAGAGACTCTTCCTTTATTCTGACCTACTGTTTGAAGAAGAAATAACTAAAGCCACCATTTATTTCATATCACTAGCCAAATTTCAACAAGCCTTACAAGAATATGGTCACCAAATAGACCTCACAGCTGCCCATACCCCTCTTTTATATGAGCCCTGCTCACAGGTCCTCATTAAGACCTGGAGAGATGAATCTCCTGGTTTGCAGCTCACACCCTTAAGGTAGGGAATAGACCCTGTCTTGCTTTCTACCCCTTACAGTAATCAAGTGCCCAGAATTGCCAGCTGGATACATCATTCTGGCATAAAACCCTACTGTCACTCAGAGCCAATCGAGAAGGGGAACAAAGAAGAAACTGAATGGACCAGCGAGCCCTTGGGGAACCTTAAGTTTCTTTTTAAAAAGGAAAACAGGCCGAAACCGGTTTGGCTCAGTGGATAGAGCGTCGGCCTGCGGACTGAAAGGTCCCAGGTTCGATTCCGGTCAAGGGCATGTACCTGGGTTGCGGGCACGTCCCCAGTGGGAGATGTGCAGGAGGCAGCTGATCGATGTTTCTCTCTCATCGATGTTTCTAACTCTCTATCTCTCTCCCTTCCTCTCTGTGAAAAATCAATAAAATATATTTAAAAAAAAAAAAAAACATGCTTACAGTAAAAAAAAAAAAATAAAAAAAAAAATAAAAAGGAAAACAGGCCAAAACCGGTTTGGCTCAGTGGATAGAGCGTCAGCCTGCAGACTAAAAGGTCCAGGGTTCGATTCCGGTCAAGGGCATGTACCTGGGTTGCGGGCACATCCCCAGTAGGAGATGTGCAGGAGGCAGCTAATCGATGTTTCTCTCTCATCGATGTTTCTAGCTCTCTATCTCTCTCCCTTCCTCTCTGTAAAAAAATCAATAAAATATATTTAAAAAAAAAAAAAAAAAAGGAAAACAGAACCACCAAGCAAGATAAGTAATGTGGTGGATAGGATTCACTATAGCCGATTTCCGTGGGGGGATTTCAATAATTTTTATACTGCCTTCCAAATACTGCCACGTGCCAGGGAAGGCACATTTCTATTCCCGATGGGTTTAAAGGTGGGACGAGTTAACATGTACGTGCTTTGACTAATTGTTGCTTCCTGCTGTCCATCTCTATCTATCATCTGGAAGAATAATTCTCCCTTCCTGACAACCCAAGGAATATTATCACAAATATCTAAACCCAGTTGTTGGGTATGTTATCAGCAGCCCACCCCAGAGCACAGGACACTGAATTAGGACAACCCCCTGGTCCTACTGATATCCTTCTAAACTGCCCTTATCAAGTTCCTTTACCTTCCCCTAATGCAGACATTTGAGTTTCGGCACCAGAGGGAAGGAGGCTTGGTTCCCAAGTCACTGTGTAGAGCAGTGGTTCTCAACCTTCCTAATGCCGCGACCCTTTAATACAGTTCCTCATGTTGTGGTGACCCCCAACCATAAAAATATTTTCGTTGCTACTTCATCACTGTAATATTGCTACTGTTATGAATTGTAATGTAAATATCTGATATGCAGGATGTATTTTCATTGTTACAAATTGAATATAATTAAAGCATAGTGATTAATCACAAAACAATATGTAATTATATATGTGTTTTCCGATGGTCTTAGGCGACCCCTGTGGAAGGGAAAGGAGTCGCGACCCACAGGTTGAGAGCCGCTGGTGTAGAGGAAGCCCACCTGCCAACCAAAAACACCCATCTCAAATTCGTGCCTAAACAAGTAACAAAGTTCTGTTGTACTGCACCATTTTACCACAAACTAAAACAAACATATTTATACCCTCTCTAGCCATTATTTTCACTGAGGTATGCTGCCAGGTTTATTCTTTGACATGTTTGTCAACACAAGGGCTAGGAGCATACTAATACTAAATTTGGCAAGTGCTAAGAGCTGCTGGTTGTAATATCTATGAAAGGAATAAACTGAATATATACTAAGACATAACTCTTCATTAAATGACTTGAGTTTATTTTCCTGGAACACAGCCAATCACAAAAGGATAGTGCTTTCCTTAGAAAAACTGAGCCAAATGGGTCCTTTCTCCTTGCTACATTGCTAGGGGAGAGAAGGCCGTGCGTCTTTGTTCCAGGAAGAACATTCCTCCAGCGTCCCCCATCTCTAAGTTGTGTGCCTCCTATAGTCATTCAGGGGGAAAGGCTGGTAAGACAATGTTGGGCAATTCTTTCTGATTACTTCCTTTTACATGCCTACCAGTAACAAGACTGATCAATGTTCTCATTACACAAATGTTTC